TAGACACTTTCATTGTACATTTGAGTATGTAAGTTGTAGTTTAAAATGTCTAGACACTTTCATTGTACATTTGAGTATGCAGTTAGTAGTTTAAAATGTCTAGACACTTTCGTTGTACATTTGAGTATGTAGTTGTAGTTTAAAATGTCTAGACACTTTCATTGTACATTTGAGTATGCAGTTGTAGTTTAAAATGTCTAGACACTTTCGTTGTACATTTGAGTATGTAGTTGTAGTTTAAAATGTCTCGACACTTTCGTTGTACATTTGAGTATGTAGTTGTAGTTTAAAATGTCTAGACACTTTCGTTGTACATTTGAGTATGTAGTTGTAGTTTAAAATGTCTAGACACTTTCGTTGTACATTTGAGTATGTGGTTGTAGTTTAAAATGTCTAGACACTTTCGTAGTACATTTGAGTATGTAGTTGTATTTTAAAATGTCTAAGACACTTTTGTAACTACTTTTTAAAACTATTTTCAACTTTAGGGGAGAGTACATAGTGTACCAAGGAGGAGACATAAAAAAACCGAGCCTAGAACAGAGAGAATGGGATAAATATATCTTTAATTTTGACGATGTTTCACAAGGCATGCTTACACTTTGTACCGTATCGACATTTGAGGGTTGGCCGCTGTAAGTAAACTGTTTCACACTTAATATTAAAATGTTTTATGCATCATATATCGAAACTCACTACTTAGATTAGAGATAAAACTTTATTTTGAAAAGGAAGTAATATTTAATTTTGGTTTTTATGGGTTTTATTATATTATTTCTGTCTTACTCTGTACGTTTAACATGATATAAAAAACACAACTTGCTTTGCAACATTAGATCAAGTTTAAAATTAGAATATTATTTTGAGTTATGTTATCGCATTATCTTCTTTAGTTGTGCAAAGTTTTAACAAGGTTAAATATTTCTAGAGTTTTCTTAAGTGATTTTTGTGTAAAGTATTTTAAAGAGTGCTGAATAAGGGAAAATACAAGGTATCCAAGTTTGTGTTTTTATGAAGATTGATTTAAGAAAATATTTGATTCTCAAAATTTTTAAAGTTTTATTATCACATTAAATTATCTTTTTGAGATAATTTACTGATGTTTAAAAAGTTTTTATGGGGTACAATTCCATGGTTATTGGTATTTTCACTCTTAAGTGAATGTAAATAAATAACAAAAAATCCTGAAATTAATTGATTTATGTTTTAAAACGTTTGGTTTCGTGCTATTTGCAGTATATATTTTAATTTATTTGTCAGCCATGATAAGGTTAGGTATGGATGTTCTGTTTCTTCTTAGTTTATTGTATGTAGCCATTGACTCCAATGCAGAAGACATGGGACCCATTCACAACTATCGACCAATGGTAGCTGTCTTCTTCATTGTCTACATTATCATTATTGCTTTCTTTATGGTGAACATCTTCGTAGGTTTCGTCATCGTAACATTTCAGAATGAGGGAGAGCAAGAGTATAAGAACTGTGAATTAGACAAGAATCAGGTAAATAAAACCAATTTTGTAGTTATGGATTTCCGTATTTACGTTATGACTGAACTTAAAAAATTAATTGAAGTTTGTACGAGTGATGCAGTGTCAAGGATAAATATATAAATAACATAAAATATATTTTAAAATCATGTGATTCATTTTCAAAATTCTTTGTTTCTTACATGTTGATAAATGAAGGCGAACGTCCATAACAGCATGATTATCAGGAAGTTCATAATAATAAATTTTATGTCTGAGAAGATGGTCTTGTCACCTCCATATGGAGCCAGTTTTTTATTTACTTAGCTTATTATAAGCCAAGTCTATTTAAGATTGTCTGTTACTTCATATCTTCATCACATTTAGTACTTACTTTGACCAGGTTTTTTAATCGGAATTCTATTTTTACAGAGGAATTGCATAGAGTATGCACTGAAGGTTAAGCCGGTAAGGCGTTTCATCCCAAAGCACCGTTTCCAGTATAAGATATGGTGGTTTGTCACTTCCCAATATTTTGAATATGCTATCTTTATCTGCATCATGATCAACACCTTGTCACTAGCAATGAAAGTATGTTCTCCAAACCTTTATGTTTGTCATTCTTTATGGAATTTACTTTTGAAAGTTTAAAGAAACAGTGATAATGAGTGTTGAAGGAAAGATCGTTTAACCAGTAATAATTTTATTAATATTAACGAGTATGTACTTATATGAGCTACATGCTAAATATTTCTTTTTATATTAACAAGTTTAATAATCTATAATTATATTTGTGTGTGTTAATTCTTCATAATTTTAAATTTTTTACTTTGTAAGGTTTTATATCACAGTATTATTGAAAGAACACCCAAAATCTGTCTATAGTTTCAAAGACATTTGTATGTGTAGTATCTGATTGTACAGCTTAATGTTAAACACATGAACAACTTTATTGTTCTTGAGATAAGAAGTTATTCCTTTTCATCATTACTGAGTGTTCATGTATCAGAGATGATGAACCTTGTTTGTTTCATTTGTGGATCATTATCAACCTAACCCTAATTCATGTAAAAGTACAGAAATCATTGTGGTTGTTGGAAGATGTTTATTTCATCTGTGGTACGTGTGTGTGTTCAGCTAATTACACTATTTCATCTCTAGTACGTGTGTGTTCAGCTAATTACACTATTTCATCTCTAGTACGTGTGTGTTCAGCTAATTACACTATTTCATCTGTGGTACGTGTTTGTGTTCAGCTAATTACACTATTTCATCTCTAGTACGTGTGTGTTCAGCTAATTACACTATTTCATCTCTAGTACGTGTGTGTTCAGCTAATGGCACTATTTCATCTCTAGTACGTGTGTGTTCAGCTAATGGCACTATTTCATCTCTAGTACGTGTGTGTTCAGCTAATTACACTATTTCATCTCTAGTACGTGTGTGTTCAGCTAATGGCACTATTTCATCTCTAGTACGTGTGTGTTCAGCTAATTACACTATTTCATCTCTAGTACGTGTGTGTTCAGCTAATGGCACTATTTCATCTCTAGTACGTGTGTGTTCAGCTAATTACACTATTTCATCTCTAGTACGTGTGTGTTCAGCTAATG